GTATTCATAAATCTCACATGAACCTGAAAGCCAACATTCTGAATTTAAAGTCTTATGACTTAATATCCCGTTATTACCCCTACCAGCCATTGTCACCTCGTCGTGACCGAATGAAATCCAGTCGACCACGGAACTTGTTAAGCTTGATCTCTCCGCGATTAATTCTGGCCAGTAGGGTGCGGATGCCCATTCAGGAATCACCAAAGTGCCCGCGGCACAATCCCGCCTTATCTTTCCCAAAACTGTACAGCCCAAACGAGGAGGGGGAACCATCCACCTGCGAAAAAGCGTCCACTGATTCTGTGCCGCTGCACCACCATCGCGAATTAAAACGCAAGCATTTTGCGTTGTAATCACACGCGAATCTATCCACTGTATGTGGACCCAACGCGCCTCACATATTTCAAAAACCCAGGACTGAATCCCCCAGTCATCGCAGTCCGAACATCTACTAAGAAAATCTGCGATCGTATTCAACTCCCTAGGGACCCATTGAAATTGCACCAGCTCGTGCTCCGTCCCGCAACACTCGTTTATCGCTAATGCTATATCCTGCAAATCTTGTTTTCTGCTCCCTGTATGAACAATACTACATGCATTTTTGCTATCCATTACTAGCTTTACCTTCACCCCCTTTACTATACTCTTTACCGATAGCAGTACCCGTTTAGCCCACTCTAACTCTCTCCAAGAAGAGCTACGCTTTGCCTCCGAGGCCTCCCATGAACCCAACACACATTGTCGATCTGCTCGATCATACTGCATATCAGCGTCAACGGGAATGCCTACCAAAGGCTTTCCGTTACACTCACTCTCAGCCAGAGTGTTCTCGGTATATACATAGCCACCATAGCCCGTGTCGGAGGCATCCGTACACACCATAACGGTATTTGTCCCAGTGACGCAACCGTTTTCCTTCAACCCACTGCCCTTGCAGTTCATGCCCTCTGCATGTGACCTCCAATGTCTATAGCCTCCGAGCCCATAAATACCGGCGCATTCCAGCTTGCCTTTGTCAAAACAGTGTTGTACAAACACCGAGTTTTCAACCTTACCTGCCGTCCAAACACACCTTGCATTGAGATGATCTCACCAACAATACCTGCCACCCATCTGGCTTCGAACAATTCCTCACCTCTGCCAATCAACGTCAAGGTCTTGTCTAGGCATGTCAATAACCTAGTCATTCTTTCCATGGTGATCCTGACCACGCCCTCCTCGAAAAACCACGTGTAGCCTAGCCGTGTGGCATTTTGTGATGGCTCCCAACTACACTTTTCGTCTGCTGATGAAGACAAACTGCGTTAAACTATGCCTCACATCCTTACTTACTTCCGCTGCTTTGCCAGCCTGGTTGTGTCCTCCTATACCGTCGTCGAGGTACATTACCACGTGGTGACCTTTCGATCGCCCGTATTTCACACACTCTCGTGTGACCGTTGTGAAAATATACCCTGCCGTAGCGATCCCAAACGGTTGCACACTGAACACAAAATACCGTAACCTACCTTCTAATATCCAAGAAAATCCTAGGTACCTTCTGTGCTCCAGCCATATCTCTATATGGTGGTAAGCCGATTTTAAATTAAATGTAAATACATGGTCACCTTCCTCGAACATGTCCCTGGCTACAGACGCGTCCTCGTATTTAAATATAAACTGATGTTAACACGGATTTATGTGCCTACAATCTAAAACGAGGGGCTTACCTTTCTTGCTGTATGCCACTGTCAGTGGATTAACCACTACAGGCTGTTCCGAAACTTCTGTGACAGAACCAATACGAATGAGATTGGTTATCTCACTATCCACAAAACTTGGATTATCTTTTGAGGGCCTATTGTTGAACAAAACTCTAGCTAATGGCAGAGATTTGAACGGCAAATTATATCCTTGACGAAAGACCTGTAACACAGCCTCGCACGTACCTGCGTTTACCCATACATCAACACTGTCTCTCAACCGACCGAGTGGGCGTGTTTCACAAACACGTGCTGTACTATCGGTGTTTACTACCGAATGTGCCTCTACTACGGACTTTACTATCATTGACTCATCAGCCACATCTACATTTTTATCAAACAATAAAAGTGTACTTATCTTTTCATTAGCCCTTCCTGCTGTCGCGGGGATACCCCTCACTGTCGGACATTCCCTCCTCCAATGACCTGTGTTACCACAAGAGAAACAAGTCCCAGGTTTTAACATCGGTGGTCTGTCCATAACCGCCCGCCCGCCTGTTGTCGTGACACGCGTGTCCAATGCGCCCTCATCATAATGATGAAAACGATCCTTCTGGAATCTCCTTGGTTTCTGCTTCTGTGTTTTAGCTTTCCTATTCGCCCTGCTCCTGGTCCTGTCCATTCTTTTTTCATCGTCGGAATCCGAAGCGATAGGGTTTGTGACGTACTCCTCTACCGTCTTCCAACCCGCGTCAGACGAATCTGCCAATTTTATGAGTTTTTGTCTGTATGCCATTAAATTAATACCTTCGGTAATCTTTTCGTTCGTGTCCCGCGCGTCGCCGGCCTGGTTTGACTGCCGAGCTTCATGCAACTTTGTCACAACTTTGTTGTTAAATTTGTGCTGCTCCTCACAGCTTTTCTTATTGAATTTATAACTGTCCATGCACATTATACCCTGCTGGATTTTTGTCAACTGAGTCTCCGTAATGGTTTACTGAGTGTCTGCAATTTGGGTTTCGAAACGCCCAAACTTGGAAGTCATCAACGTGTCTAATTGAGTTAGAAGTTCGTTTCTGGAAGCTGAAACTGCCGCTCCTACCTGCTGTGAAATATCTGCTTTCGTAAGTTCATCCATGATTCATAAGAAAAATTTAATATGACCGTCGCGCTGAAAAGGCGGCTAGAAAATGACCCACGTACCCGATACGCTGACACGTATCGTACGTGCTACATACAGAGCCAATCCGATTGGCTAAGCACACTCGGCAATATCCGTATCGAACCGATAAGACAAATAATTCCCGCTATTCTCCGAACCGCGGGAATATGTTAGTACAGTAACATACAGAAAGACAACACTAGAAATTAATCTAGGTATCGTTTGACCTTTCTACCCTTAAGAGTAGATCAAACATTCACACGGTAATCAATATTCAAATCACAAATACGATGTCCCGACAAACTTGTGCAGGTTCAGAGAAAGATAGGCCTGCTGCAGCCCACTGCGTAATCGTATAGCGGTCCCCCCACAAATGCTGTCTCGGGGATGGTTTCTTCCCTGTTCTTCTGTTTAAGAGACATTGAAGAAACAATCATGTATCCCACTACATGTGTTTGTCACAAAGGTGGGGTCTCCTTCAGAATCGAGCGTTGTCTACAGTGTCTTCTACAGAGACCAGAACGGATATGCTCCCGCGTTGCAACACTTGATTTTTTTTTAATTTTTTTTTTGCTTTTCTTGTCTTATAAATATCTTCTACTTTCTGTTTACGGTGGTGTCGCCCTAGGCACCTGTCCTCGTATGACCCTAACCGTTGTCAGGACTCCAAACAATATCCTCAACATGTAAATGGTGTTCATTTGAAGGTTTCTCAGTCACTCTTCCGGTAAACTGACTTGACATTCATAACCATTGAATGCAAACGGGAAATGCCAAATAAACATTAAAGCGCTAGCGGTCTTTGCGGAATGTGCCATTTCCCGTTTTTATGCATTTTGACTATGACCTCGTTCATTTTGCCTATTTTTCATATATTTTAAAAAAAAACGTGTTATAAGGGAAAACAATATCTTACTGTGGTATCCGCGTATCACAATGGTCACTTGTAGAACAGAGACATTTTCCCGTTCCCCAACTATTATGACCATAAACATACAGATATATTTATGTAACCTAGTTTAGTGTATGGTCCGATTAAAGGCCTTATCGCTACTGGATTTGTCAGAACTGTAGCTCATTAAGTTATTCGACTAAGAAGGTTTAGCTAGGAAAAAGTGTCACAGGTAGGTTTACTAATTAGAGGGAGATATTGAAATATTCATGTTAAATAAAATGCAGACTAATACTATCCAAACCATTGTAAATGGCATAACACTGATTTGCATTATATTTATATGTTGTAAAGCATTATGGAAAGGGCGTTTATAAGTTGCAATAACTCGTGCCAAATCCTTTTTGTAAGTATATTGCAATAACATATGTTTAAACTAAACTAACTGATTTGTTTTGTATTTTCAAAGTCTTTTCAGCAGATTACAGAAATATATCCACGGATGTATTGAAGCAGACTTAACATTAGTCGCCTCATACGATGATGTAGTGGGATATAGCAGATATATTCGTTCTCAGCGCATTGTACATGTAACATCTTCTATTGTACCCCACATACACCATGATAGTGTACATGTAGCCCAGTGACGCTAGTGGGTGTAGATGCAATCACTATTATTGTAATTGAAGGGCTACAAAATATAACTACAATTCCAATTTTCAATATACTAAGTTCCCCGTTATAACAAATGACAATTTGATATTTCGTTACAACGACTTTCCCTTTCGTTATAACGACTTACTTTTCGTTATAAAGACTAAGCACCTCGTTATAACGATTGACAATCTCGTTGAAACGACTTACAATTTTTTTTAAACGACATACTTTTCGTGAGAATAACCTACAATCTCGTTATAACGACTTACCACCTCGTTATAACGATTTACCATATTGTTATAACGACATACCATCTCTTTATTACGATTTACGTTCTCATTATGATAACTTACCATTTCGTTATCTCGTTATAACGACTTATCATTGCATTATAAGAAACAAGTAACGTAACCTTAGCAGCACCCGCACCTTGTCCGAGCTAACTTTGACCCCTACTACTGATCTAGTATCGTACGAAAACAAAGCCAAGTTCAACGTCACAGGTTCTACTTTAGCAGCCTATATTGGTACATGTATACTGATAAGACTTAGCACAACATAAAAATATGAAAGATAAGGAGCGCGTGCCAGCTATAAAAGACACTGACCTATCTGACCAATCACACCTCTACACATTACCAGCCATGCTACGTCTATTTACTGTCATTGTTTGTGTGGCCCTAGCCTTGGGAGCGCCAAACAGGTATGTTTGTACATGTATACTGTTTTTATAACAAATTCATCTATACACCAAAGTGAAAAAAATATTATCAAATATATAAAAATAATGAACAGTTTTAAAGCAATATTACTCACTATTCGTCGTAGTTTCGCTACTTTTTATAACGAAAATACAAGACGCGATTGCAGAAATCGGGAATTTGATGATAGAAAGGAATAACAATTTAGCGTTCAAAAATTCCAATGCTAAACGTCTGATCCGAATTCGGTATGTCGCGCTCGTAAACAACGGCTTACATTGGTCATAAGTAGCTTCAAACGTCTGCTTCAATCGGTGTGTATTATGTAGCGTTCGTTCAAGAATATCATTGTCAAGCGTCTGTTTCAATTCGTGGTACCATGTAAGTAGCATTCAGGAATAACAACTCCAAATGCCTTGAGCAATCCCCGTCGGGAAAATGAATAATTTAATATAAAATACTGCGATAATTTAGGAAACTGGTAGTCTGTTGAATCCATATGCAATTTATCAGTAGTTTAACTTCACTCATCCAACATGTCATTTTTTCTGTCCCTGGTAGGCACTGCGAAGATGTCCTCGCTCGGGCTGGCCTCACCACCAAATACAACGAGACAATCGCCCATGCTGTCCATTCCATGACAGTGGACGCTCTGAAACTCTTCAACCCCCGGGCCACCGCTAACAATAGAGTCCCCACTGTAAATCAGGATCTCAACCAGAGCCAAAAGGTTCTTCCATACGCCCCACATACCGAAACCGGAAGTGGGTTCTCCACCATGACCATGAACATAATTGACGGCATCCTGTCTCAGATCGGTCATTCCAATGACGGACTTGGTCCAAACTGGTCACCCATTGAACGTGTGGCCCACGTGTTTCACATGTGGGACTTGTGGCACAAGGTAAGAGACAGTGACGTATATTAGTGTGTTTTGTGAAAAACTTGTTGTTTTGTCAAAACCTAGCCGGCAGTGACCCCTCGTGACCCCTCTCATGATAATTAAGGAGACAACGCCGCATCTTTTGCTACCTGCACCCCTGGAATATGACATAGAAAAAATAAAGGCTCTCAGTGTGCGTCGTCTTATTGATGAGACAATGAGACGAGTTTGATCCTTTGATGAAAACCAAAGGAATATCGTGGTCGTGTAACGGTAAAATTGAATGGCTTTGAAATCCGGAGTCGCTCCTCTGTAATCTTCAAAGGACAAGTATCAGCCTAGCGATTGGTCAGGGGTTTTTCAACTAAGACCAATCAAATAGCTACAGTATACACGTACCTTTAATTTCGCTATGACATATCCCAGGGGTGCAGAGAGCGAAAGTGAAAATACTCCTTGACTATCGAGGATGACAACCTGTAGACTAGGTTTAAAAACAAATCAAGAAAACAAATATAATTGTTGAAGAAACCTTTTTCAGAAAGTTAAGAAAAACTTATCCAAATCTTAACACATAATGAAAGTATTCTGTTGACATCTTTTAAGCGTTAAATTTGAAACTCAACACACCAATAAATATAACGAAAATCAGTTATCCCGTACATTTTGCAGAAAATGTTTTTCATTGATTTCTAACGTACATGTATTCACAGAAAACAAACAACACAAGTCATCTTTGAATTACTGTATTACATTGTCTATCCTTCAGATCTACACGACAACTTGGCAAGACATCCAGACCGATATTCCCTCCCAGGCCACCTGCGACTGCGTTCTTGATGTGGACAATAACGGAGTCAAGGCCGCTGTCCAGTGGGTGGCTGACCACTACGAGAGTGGCACGCCCATCACCCTCCTGAACCGTCCCATCCCCAAGCTGACCGACGCACAGTCGTGGGGTGTGTGGAGGGATCGACTGTTACATTACTACACCCCGGCTGCTCTGAAGGACGCGGCCATCTATCTGTACTGCGAAACACAGCACATGTAATACACGTGTATTGACCTACCATAGCAAAAGAAATACACATTATAGTGATATGTTTAACTCATTCACCCCTGAAAAAACATTTGAACTCCTCCAATTATAAGGTTGGATTAGTTCATTATGAAATTTCAGGGATAAATTAGTTAATGCGATGGACGAGTTCGTGTCCTTGACATCAAACGTTATATGATCTGATCAGATGAAAATTTGACAGTCATTTAGATATGCATATAAAATAAAATCTTTTAAAATGATTTCATCGAAGTTCGTGTGTAATTTGATACTGATTTAGATTTTTTATATGTAGAAAGTCGGGTGCTGTAAAACGATTACTGTAATTAAAATCCACATATTTGTCGCCACATATATATCTCTTTTTTGGGATAAAGATAGTCAATTGAGAAATTGGGTTTTGTTCTATTTATTTATTATATATTCATTTTTTAATATTTTGTATGTGTTTTGAATTTCGAACATTCAGATAGAACAGAATATTATCGCAAATCTTTCGATCCATGTGCGACATGTGTGTGAAAGTGACGATTTGTTTTTAAATATCAATTTGAAGTGCGCCCTGGGCGCGGGTCGCATATTTCCTGCATATTATAGAGGGCCAGAGTTCTGACATTAATCGACGACAGACGGATATGAAAAAAGCCGATAAAACGTCAGAATAATTCGGACTACAGAGCTAGGTAACTTATGTAAATGGTCCAGGAAAGATAACTCCAAAATTATCCCGGGCATATACCGCAACTACGTTGATCGATCCAAACCTATCAGGTCCACACGTGTACCATGTTGTTTATTCTCAAGCTCATATACGTGATGTTATAAATTATAAAGGTTAAAGCACAGGAATTTGTCACATGGTATGTAATATATGTCCCTTTGGGAAGAGTGGTCAATTTCCAAATATTATTTTTAAACTTTCTATTCACGTGCGTGATGAGCATATCTAGTGTCTTGTGATATGTGCTTAAAATTTAATTAGTATAATCAAATATGTGTCAAGATTCTCACTGACACATGTGGTGTGTCAACATTCTCACTTACACATGTGATGTGTTTCAACATTCTCACTGACACATGTGGTGTGTGTTGATATTCTCACCAACACATGTGATGTGTCAACATTTTCATTAACACATGTGATGTGTGTCAACATTCTCACTGACACATGATGTGTCAACATTCTCATTGATTCATGATCTGTCAACATTCCAAATTACACGTGATGTGTCAACATTCCCACTGACACGTGATGTGTCAACAATCTCACTGACACATGATGTGTCAACATTCTCACTTACACATGTAATGTTTGTCAACATTCTCACTGACACATATGATGTGTGTCAACATTCTCATTGACACATGTGGTGTGTGTTGACATTCTCACTAACACATGCGATGTATGTCATCATTCTCACTGACACATGTGATGTGTGTCAACATTCTCACTTACACATGATGTGTCAACATTCTCAATGATTTATGATGTGCCATTATTCCCACTTACACGTGATGTGTCAACATTCTCACTTACACGTGATGTGTCAACAATCTCACTGACCCATGATGTGTCAACATTCTTACTTACCCATGTGATGTGTGTCCACATTCTCGTTAACGCTTTTGATGTGTGTCATTATTCTCGCTTACACATGGGATGTGTCAACAATCTCGTTTACACATATGATGTGTGTCAACATTTTCGTTTACATTTGTGATGTGTGCCATATTTTCGTTTACACTTGTGATGTGTGTCAACATAATCACTTACACATGTGATGTGTGTCATTATTTTCGTTTACACTAGTGATGTTTGTCAACATTCTCGTTTACACTTGTGATGTGTCATGACTCTCGCTTACACATGGGTTGTTTGTGTACATTTTCGTTTACACATGTGATGTTTGTCAACATTCTCGTTTACACTTGTGATGTGTGTCAACATAATCACTTACACATGTGATGTGTGTCAACATTCTCACTAACACATGTGATGTATATCCACATTCCCACTTACACATATGATGTGTGTCACATTCTCACTAACACATGTGATGTATATCCACATTCCCACTTACACATATGATGTGTGTTACATTCTCACTAACACATGTGATGTGTGTCAACATTGTCGTTAACGCTTTTGATGTGTGTCATTATTCTCACTTGCACATGTGATGTTTGTCAACATTCTCACTGACACATATGATGCGTGTCAACATTTTCACTGACAGATGTCTTGTGTGTTGACATTCTCCCTAACACATGCGATGTATGTCATCGTTCTCACTGACACATGTGATGTGTTTCAACATTCTCACTAACACATGTGATGTGTGTCAACATTCCCACTTACACATCCTATATCCACATTCCCACTTACACATATGATGTGTGTCACATTCTCACTAACACATGTGATGTATATCCACATTCCCACTTACACATATGATGTGTGTCACATTCTCACTAACCCATGTGATGTGTGTCAACATTCTCACGTACACATGATGTGTCAACATTCTCACTGACACATATGATGCGTGTCAACATTTTCACTGACACATGTCTTGTGTGTTTACATTCTCACTAACACATGCGATGTATACATGATGTGTCAACATTCTCATTGATTCATGATCTGTCAACATTAACACTTACACGTGATGTGTCAACATTCTCGCTGACCCATGATGTGTCAACATTCTTACTTACACATGTGATGTGTGTCAACATTCCCACTGACACGTGATGTGTCAACATTCTCGCTGACCCATGATGTGTCAACATTCTTACTTACACATTTGATGTGTGTCAACATTCTCGTTAACGCTTTTGATGTGTGTCATTATTCTCACTTACACATGTAATGTGTCAACATTCTCACTGACACATGTGATGCGTGTCAACATTTTCACTGACACATGTCTTGTGTGTTGACATTCTCACTAACACATGCGATGTATGTCATCATTCTCACTGACACATGTGATGTGTGTCAACATTCTCACTTACACATGATGTGTCAACATTCTCACTGATTTATGATGTGTCATTATTCCCACTTACACGTGATGTGTCAACATTCTCACTTACACGTGATGTGTCAACATTCTCACTGACCCATGATGTGTCAACATTCTCACTGACCCATGATGTGTCAACATTCTTACTTACACATGTGATGTGTGTCAACATTCTCGTTAACGCTTTTGATGTGTGTCATTATTCTCGCTTACACATGGGATGTGTCAACAATCTCGTTTACACATGGGATGTGTCAACAATCTCGTTTACACATATGATATTGTCAACATTGTCACTTACACTTGTGATATGTGTCAACATTTTCGTTTACATTTGTGATGTGTGTCAACATTATCGTTTACACTTGTGATGTGTGTCAACATTCTCGTTTACACTTGTGATGTGTGTCATTATTCTCGCTTACACATGGGTTGTATGTCAACAATCTCGTTTACACATGTGATGTGTCAACATTGTCACTTACACTTGTGATGTGTGTCAACATTTTCGTTTACACTTGTGATGTGTGTCAACACTCTCGTTTACACTTGTGATGTGTGTCAACATTCTCGTTTACACATGTGATGTGGGTCAACATTCTCTTTTACATTTGTGATGTGTGTCAACATTATCACTGACCCATGTGATGTGTGTCCACTTTCTGACTCACATGTGGTGTATGTCAACTGTCTCAATAACACAAGTGATTTGTGTCAGCATTCTCATTGACCCATGTGATGTTTGTCATCATTCTCATTAACACATGTGATGTGTGTCAACATTCTCATTAACACATGTTATGTGTGTCAACATTCTCATTAACACATGTGATGTGTGTCATCATATTCACTTACACATTTGATGTGTGTCAACATTCTCACTTACACATGTGATGTGTGTCAACATTCCCACTTACACATCCGATGTTTGTCAACATTCTCACTGACACATGTGATGTGTGTCATCATTCTCATTTACACATGTGATGTGTCTCAACATTCTCACTGACACATGTGATGTGTGTCAACATTCTCACTAACGAATGTGTTTATATTATTAATGATATCCTGTATGTTAACACATTATAGTACACATCGAATCAACTACAATACCGCAAGTCTATTCTCAAAATACAAATGTATCAATAATTCTGTGTTGGTCATTTACAACTACTGTGTCAGATGAATCAGAAAATATTTACAATTGATTCCTCGTTAAACTTTATGTACATGGACGTACATGTATTACATGTTCGTTTACTTGTTTTGTTATATAACATCAGGCCAACATATGCCGTTAAGTCCAAGTAGTTGTATAGACAAGGCCTATAATATCGATGCGTTCCCGCTTTTTTTCCTCATCGATCAAACAACATACCAACTGCTTAATATACCAGGTGATCTCATTGGATTTTTATACTTTAAATCTTCGTGTTCTACAGGACATGAGTACATTCAAATATACATGTATTACCTGTGACTCGATTTTAATACGCTGAATACAAACGAATGAAAACATTGATTTGGTTTGTTTGTGTTTTAAGTCCTATTACATTGTAATAGCTATGGTCATTTAAGGACGTGCTAGGTTTTGTTGGTGGAGGAAAGCCGGAGTTACCAGCCGGAGAAAACAATACCGACCAAAGACCAGTACCTGGCGACTGTCCCACGTACATGTAGGTCTCAACACGCGACTTAGTGGTGGAGGTAGCAAGCTGTCGGACGCCTTAATCTCCTGGCCACCGCGGCCCCTGGCCTCAACAAACATATATATAGTTATCGTTTAGCTGTACTTAAGGTTACCACTGCATCAGTTATACAAACAAAGAACAGGTCCAAGTGCTATACTTTTACTTGGAGTATTTTCCCGTCTATATAGAAGATGAAGCAACCTCAAGGGCCTTTACAGGCTTAAAATAAAATAATATTTCGAGGTTTAATCACAACCTAATTCGTAGATCGTCTCAAAGCGATTCACAAATTATTATCCGTGGTTACAGGGCCGTTGCACCCAGCCAATACCTTTCTCAACTCCCTGGGGAGCATACAGCCGGAGCTGCCATATCGGCTTTCACTGCTAGCATTCAACAATTCTAGCGCTGCCCAACCACGTACTCATTTACAGCTGTGTAGACTGGAACAAGCGGTGTAAATTATCTTGCTCAAAGATAACACACAGTGCCGTGCCGTGACTCGAACCCGCAACCCTTCGGTCACGAGCCCGGCGCCCTACCACTGGACAACCGCGCCTCTTAGGGTCACTGCCCATGTCTCGTTTTTCATTTGTTCTCCGACCCATAAAATAACAAACTGGTACCCTTCACCTTTAATTTAATGAAAAGAATAACTGAAAGTTGGAAACCATTTGAGTTGTTGTGCTAAATGTTATTTTGAAGACAGCTAATAAGTAGGGGGCCCACCTTAGTCCAAATGTCCTAACTATTCTGACACTTTTTTTTCCATTCATTTGTGGACACAATGAAAAGTTTACTTCTTCGATACTAGAAAAAATATCCGGTTTTTTTTAACTTTTCAGATTGTAAGCTATATATTTTTTTATCCGAATATGAAAGGGAGCGCATCTTTAACTCTTGATTAGGAGATATTAGTTTTTCAATACTTTTTCGATGATTAATGATAAATCGATCTTTATACCCAGGCGTTGTCTACACTTCATGTGTACGAAGTACCGTACCTACAGCACACGTTCTGTGTACCTGTAATACCTGCCGTTATTTCGGAGAAATAAATCTTACCCTGTCTTTGAGATACGGCAGACGGTGACACCCATGTTTGTATCCCAGTAATTTACAGTACCACTAAATTACGGGACTATTATCACAGCCGTTTTAAAAGTAGGTGTTCATTGCAAAGTGTGCATTACATTCATTGGGACATTTTTCACCGGAAAGTACAAGTGTCACACACGTATATAACTTGAGGAAACTGAGTTTTCATTTCCGTTTCGTATCATGATTTAAGATTAATGAAATTATTTTTGATTGGAGTCTTCCGTACTTTAAATGAAGATATTACACAGCAAGAAAATACAAAGAAAATCAGTTGTGCAACATATACGTGTATGATACCATTATATGAAAAAAAGAATTTTCGGTACGGTTTTTACCCAATCGCATGTGTGTGATTGGGGAAACTATTTCCTCTGGACAAACATCAAAGATCGGCAGTGCCTGGATTAGAAAGGAAGTTTCCTTAAGATTAAAATAGAATCTGATTCATATGCTGGCGTCATAGGATACATTTCATACAGCAGACCTGTGTTCGTATTGTGAGAACATTGTTACTATAACATAGCCGAGGAGGAGAAACAAAATCCTAAAGGTAAGCAAACTTTTAATTAAGTTCTTGTTAATTGTACGATTGTCTTTGCTGTCAAATCCTACTCTAAGTTTTTACGCACGCATCAGTTTATATAAAGTAATAGTCATGTATTCCAATACACATAGAACTAATTAAAGTATGAGACGCTGCTGTCATAAATACAATTCATAAAATTCGTATGTATCAGGACCTAGAATCAGAACACTTCTATCTATCATGCGAGTTAATATTAAATTTGATCATTTCCATATTTACCCCGAATCAACCGGATACCTTGATTTCATCCCGAGGGCTAAAGGCCTAAGAATTGACACGTGTTAGGATTGACACCTGGCAAAATATGTAATATTTATATGACAAACTTGTTATCATATACTATTTTAGCAATACTACAAATCGATTGGAATTGAGAATTGATTTCTGAACGTGTTGAACTGGAAGTAAAACGGACATGGTGCATTCCGGGCAGATATGCATGGGTCCTGTGATCACATTTAATGCTTTTCATATATTCACACTATTTTTATATATTTATTGTTTCAAAAGGGTCATGTCCCGGGGGCCTTTGTAGGTAGGTAACTCCCAATCACTCAGAAACCTGGGATATGATACTTTTTTTTCCTGTGATAATTATTACTGCTTTTTATTAATATATGTGATTATCTCCCTTTACTTGTAATGTAATGTTTTATTGTTATTTTACATATGTTTTTAGCAATAATAGCTCTCAAGAGCTAATGTTCCTTGTTTACCTGTATGCGACTTTAAATAAAGTTTCTTGTATATTGTATCTTGTATCCTGGGATATTTCTTAAATGAACAGATTCATGTACATTACACGTACAATACAAGATAACTAAGAGCTTCACATGATGTGTCCCTCGGACATATACAATATGGTCTAGTCTGGTCTGGTCTGATCTGATCTGGTCTAGTCTGGTCTAGTATAGGCTGGTCTGATCTGGTCTGGTCCGGTCTAGTCGGGTCGGGTCGGGTCTGGTCTAGTCTGGTCTGGTCTGGTCTTTTCTGGTCTAGTCGGGTCTGATCTGGTCTAGTCTGGTCTAGTCTCTGGTCTGGTCTAGTCTGGTCTGGTCTTGTCTGGTCTAGTCGGGTCTGATCTGGTCTAGTCAGGTCTAGTCTCTGGTCTGGTCTAGTCTGGTCGGGTCGGGTCTGATCTGGTCTAATTAGTCTCGTCCCAAGTTTTGGTCTGGCTCCATATTTTAGATCAGGTCCGAAGTTTCGGTCCGATATTGTCTGTTACAATTGGTTAGAAAACAAAAGTATGTTTTGTCATTTCAAACCTGTTATTTTCACTTGATTAATATCTCTTGGTCTTATTCAATTAATATTGACTAATTAGTTAATTTCTATGTAGTTATGAAGCTTTGAAGAGGTTGTCTGACCCAATTATCCGGAACTTGTGATGGGTTTAAATATCATTGGAAGGGAACAGACCAAAGCTTTTCAGGAGGACACATTTATCGTTGGGAAATGAGACTTAAGACTTGTTACATATTAATAAAAGTTATCTTGTGTTTGACTGAAGAACTACTGGCCGCTGTGTTTCAACGATTACATGTACGATAACGTTTTCAGAATTGACTTATCAAAGTCATAGTCATGCTGGCAAAATCGGTTTTTGGTATTGGTACGGGGATCCTTAAAAACACGTTGTTACAAATATAGATATAGATAAGAAGTAGCTTTATCCGAACACCGTTATGTACTTATTTAAATATGGCGATAAACTAATAGATCGGGGCACGTGTAACATGTCTCTAACCAATATGATTAATATTGTAATAAATGTGAACAATTTACTTTTTGTTGCAAAGATGCCGAAAACCATTTTTTCCCCTGTATCAATCATTTTGCATATTTCGCATACATGAACCATACATATACTTGCATTATTCTCCATAAGTACAATTGTTCCAAAAAAAATATGCATGTTTTATGTACTTTATATTTATATGTGTTTAAGATGCCGAAAACCTACTACGCCAAAAAAAAGACTTTGGCAGAGGGTCTGATGGACGTGGGCCTCATGATAGCCAATGCCAGTCAGTTAAAGGCCGTGCTTGACGCTGGCTCCGCCCACGAATATTATCTGCTACTTGTAGTGCTCATCAGCATCTGTCTCTTCTTACAAGTGTGCATTGGTGTTCTAATCCTGGTCCTTGGGCTCACGGAGGACAACGAGGAGGAAGACCCGAGGTCCAGTAAGATCAACAACAGTGTCGTCGGCTTAATTTTCGCCGTGACAGTCCTCAACATATTTATCGGGGGTTTTGGAATATCAACATCTCCAAATTAACACGTCAGCAGTTAAACCGGATGATGACGTGGGTGATCTGCATTAAATTTGTATCATGGACGCGATTTTCATTCAATACAAGACTCCGTCCAGTACACACGAAATCAAGTGATTTACATTTATGTACTAGACTGTGTTTCATATTTCATATGAAGAACATGTACTAGTATGAAATTTTGCATTATCAGCTTTTCTTGAAATTTGTACAGTTACCTACGCCAAAAATATTTACAACTGACGTTGGCAGTCGACTATGCTTCGTTTCTGTCACGTGTGGTAATTCGGGAAAGGTTGGTACTTTCCGTGAATGAGAAAAGATTTTCTCGTTTACGGAAAGTGACGAAGGTTCCCGATTGATGCGTATGGTACCATGATGTGTGTACATTGTAACTAACGCCGGAAGATGTTCCGCAATATGCCGAAATAGATGCAATGCAGACAGCGAAGTGGGGAGAACTATTTTTACTACCCTGCGATTTTCATCAAATCCTATGCCATCCAAAAACAGCAGACGTACTGCTTAAACATTGATACTGGCTTATAATTACGTTCAATCACTTCAATTGGTTGAAATCCTGAATTGTTAAATGCAAGTTGTTTTCTTTGTGCTCATTCATCCGCAAATTAGTACCATGATGGACGCTTATATTTTACAAGTGATAAGCTTTACGAAAGTTTCTATTTTGTTTGTTTTTATGCATTCATCGAATCTGACAATATTATAACTATAGATCATCTATACTTATTAGGCTCATAATTGATTGATATCGAACTTTGCAAAACACGTTTTATAAATTCTGGAAGTTTTCATGAAATAAAAGTGTAAAAAAATGTATGAGTATTGCAGATTAATTAGAAACTTATGGCGGGGCCAAACTTATTGTGACAGAAGGCTGTTTGATAACTTGGTTGATGAACGTTACGTATCATGTTTTTGCCTCGATTTAGTTATTTTGAAGAAAAAAAGAAAATGAATCAAACTTAACCAAAGCTAGTTTTCTTTTTAGAATTAGAAATAAAGACCTACTATCGAGTTAGATAAACATGAAGAGCAAAATGGCCAATCTATTGGATCTCTACGCTACATAATGTAACGCCGTGAAAATCCCTTTACCACCTGGCGTACTGATTAATATGTCATACAGTACAAACACGGGAGTGTTGTCTCACGCACAGTGACTATACATGTTTAGACTGTATACATCTGTATCAATCTCTATCCAGAGTTTTAGTCCCTTACACTCACTAATAGTGTTACATAGTGAGTGCTAGGAACGACAACTCTGGATATAGATTGCATTTGTATAATGTAAAATGTTGCAAAATATAAGTTAACGCGCCAAATCCTTTGATAGGTTTATAAACGGTGTTGCGTAAAATGTATATCCCAGGAAATTTGTTCCAAAAACCAAACCGCTAAAATATTAACACGCGAAATGAAATAGTTATATAGAGTAGGAATCGTATCTGTATGTATATATATAATGTTTCATATAGCAGGATATTGTAGCGGGTATGATCTTTTCGCGAGACAACAACGTTATCGAGAAAATATTATTCCCAGAATGATATGAAAATAGTAAAAATTACCCGCGATAATAAACGCATAACCGTCATGCCGTCATGAAATAGCGCGTAAGTGGTTTTAGTTTAAACTTTCTTTTATTTCAGTTCAAGCATGTTATTACAATGAACAAAAAGACAAAGGGAAATAGGAAGCGGTTTTAACGATTCGTATATATATATAGAGTGATGGTGCTTGAAAATGGGTTACATCATGTATGTAATAATTATGTAGATAATATGTTTCACGAAATACAGCTTGTTGTTGCTCTTTATGCTGTCATCAAGCCTATTCATTTAACTATAAGACACTGTATCGCACCTCGGACAAAAATGTCCAAAAACCATTGGTTTAGAGCTGTCACGTGGTGACCCTCTGATTTTCTATAGAGGGTCAGTAGGATTCCATTATAGGGCAATATGGCCGCCCATTGCTCACCGCTTCAAAACTAAAACAACAGATACGGGTACCTGAATATTCTAAAAATGATACAATGCTCACCGTAATTCCTACCCGCTACATTGTATCGTAAGATGATAGGAGTAACAGAGAGATTTGGGCAGACGACCAGTGAGGAAATAAACACGAAGCGACTTACAGTCAATCTGCTAAACATTCATATTGTTTTGTTATGCATTAAATCATTTTCATTTTAAGCAAAAAGGGTCCTCGATGCGATAAATTCGTTATATAGTCAGTTACTGACCCTCTACAGAACCATAGAGGGTCAGTAACTGACTATATAACTAATAGTATATGCCGAGTGTCCCGTGTCTATGCCAAAACGCCGCGGAAATTTAGTTCCTACACAGTCTAGATCGCGAAAATATAACCCGCGTAATAGAAGTCAGCGTAAATAACCCGTTGTACGGTATTGTGTCAAACATTTTCATATGTAAAAATACGATACTGTTCATACCTACAATCAATTATATGCAAGTCCATGTTTAGAGTTTAGAGTCCATGGGGATATGAGAAATCTGCGTCATAATTGCATTTCCTTGTACATGTATTGTATTTCAGGTAAGTCGATATCCGAGTTGTATAGGCATGTACAATTGACCAACGGCCTACCGGTCAACGCGCTGCATTTGACCAATAAACGTTTAACACACGGTCGATGCGCTATAGTCGGAATGACGTTTCTTCTTGGAGGGTTATCGATTTGATAAAATCGTACTTTGTATATACGTATTAGATCAGAGGGTTGTAAGAATACACATGTAGATATGTGTCCCATTTATCGATAATTTACGATGAATCTCTCTAGTATAACACAATCTCGGCCACATCTATTTGCCATGCCATATATAATTTGATTTATCGTAATGTACATAATTGGTTATATCCATAAACAAGTCATTAGCGATACAGGTCAGAGGAACACCTGCACCTTCTGGAAAAGAAAAGGCCTGCGCCGTCCCACTGCCTATTATACATGTATTTCGAGGCGTTGTTGGACTCCCCTGAATATTAATTTGTCTGATCTGCTGAAGGGACACGGAGGGGACCAACATTAATCTGCTGCTTCCATTGCAACACATGCCGGGATATATATCTTTTCTTATCTCACTTCTTTAAATCTGTATATCTTGGATATAGTCTTGATTAATCAGATATTGTCGGCTAAAACTTCTACTTTTACATGTAATTTAGAATTTCCACCAAGAATACCCCTCACACAATACATTGTCTACACATACAGGCACACCAGCAAAATGTTATATTCCGTAGAAAGCAAGAAAATTTCACAAAACTACACATATAACACGTGCATATTGTGTTAGAGTAATTAAGCATATATTATGACTAATGTGAAATTCAAATTTTGACGGAAATTCCCGAATGGTTTTCTTTTCATGCTTGACGGAATAGGTAACAATACAAAATACGACGGTGTTTCCACCAAAGGCTGTTCCGAATTTCGGTAATGCTTCATTCGAAATGAAACATTAACTGTGAAAAACGGTAAAACCGTCGGGTAAGTTGATTTTTTTTATTTATTATTCTTTCTTTGCTATTGTGAACGTAAATATTAGGACACATAAAGCTCATAAAATCTTAAACGTTTTTTCATTATTTATTTTTTTATTTTTTTTTGAAAAAGGGGTGAAACAGTTTTCGTTTTTAGAGATGAGATCGAAAGAAAAAAAATTCGAGCGAGTTCAATTGAATGAGAATCTGATATCGCTTTTTATCAATTTATTTAAGTTAACATAGAATTTCGATCTCAACATTTTGACTTCATATACATTGCTCAATGTGACGTCACAATACCATTACGCCATGTCTATTTTCCAAAGTCTGACGTCACAGTGAGTGTTACATGTGTAGTACATGTAAATGAGGTTATACGTAAACGACGTGATATGTAGGTCTATTATGTGATATGATGGTGTTATAACACTTACTGATAAACGGTTCTTTATTATGATGGATGATTCTATGTTAATTTCGTCTTTTGTATTTAAAACACACTGACTGTGCTCGAAGCTGTAAATTCCTACGGTAGAGTAAATAAATATATTCATAAAGCGACTGTATTTAACTGTACAGTCGTGTGGGTTAAGGTCAGATCACAAAAGACACGTGTCCACTCAGAATTGTCATAAATGACCTTGAACCATTCAGTAACCTTATCCTGAAGGTTAGCAAACACACGTTGTGGGATGGAAAAAGAGTATACACAATGTTCACTTTCGTTCTTTTGACCTTGACCCATAACCTTGAAGTTCACGAGAGGTTCCATGTCTAAACAGTTCGCCATTAATCCATCCTCGTTTTCAAACCAATATACGACTGGGTAACCTAGCAACAGGCCGAAAATGGTGGTCAAGTTTGCAGTTTTACAGTCCACAATGACCAACCTGATATGCTCAAAATCCGGATCTATAGTACTGATCACCTGTTTTAATTGGCCAAAGACGTGAACACATTTACACATAACTTCCGGTGCACCTCGTCGTTTGCTGACATCAACGATAGTGAATTTAGACTCCCATTCGGTTGATGGGCATTGCATCGTTTTAATAATTGTCGGACACATTATAATAACATCCATACCAAGTTGTAATATATTTAAGATATTTGTTATGTATCTCCTAGTCTTCATCTCCTCTATCAGTGACACGAGTTTTTCGATACCCTCCACACCAAAGTCCAACAGATACGACGGTTTCACGTGTAAATCAACAAGTCTGATATTAGTGAATAATTCACGTGCATTTTGTTTAATCTTTTTACCCATGTACGTGCCAACAAACTGTCGGATGTCCGTCGGAAGGTCTATTCCAGGTGTTATGGCCGAAGCCATGCTGACTGGCAATGACTCGGGGCGTTGTCCCTTAATGTATCTGAAACATAATATCCTCGGTGAAAATAGTTAGGTAGTTACATGTATGTTACATACTTTTTTGTTAAATTATATTTACTGGGTTCTGTTTAGCATTGAAGACCAAAATCTATATTATAAAAGGTACATGTATTATACTATAGATGGAAAGGAACCTCGCTAATTTCAAGGGGACCTTATAATTTGTTACAGCTATATTTGGACATATGAGGTGTTCAGAGTAACTTTACACGTTAAGAGATTGAGATAAACTTTTAATTTAATCATTATTTTAACGTAATTTACAAAAAGTTGATCATAACCCCAAAAACGTGTAAAATTACTCAGAACTCTGTTCTTCGATATCTAGTGTTTTGGAAACATACTGACAATTTTGGTTTCTATACAAAATGACTTGTTAGAAGGGTAAATGTGTTAGGGATACCTATCGATCTGACATAAGTGCTATAAACTATCAATTCAAGATATTGCTTTAAACTTTTATTTCAGGTACCCTATGGACATATCGTACATTGTAACTTTTTACATCTACAGTAATTTCAGATACATTTTTCTGCGATTTTGAACATTATGGAAAGCAGTGGAAAACCCCATAGAATTCAAGTCATACAAGTATACATTGCAATTATTTTAATGTATAATATGAAGATATTCAAATTGCTCGCTTCCCAGGTTGACCAGTTCGCCATAGTAGTACCTTACACAGGGACTTGAGAATCTGTTACAGCTAAAGTATTTTTTCACGTTTAAGGGGTGAATGCAGATAATTCACCGGAAGACGATGAGAGTGATCTCCCTTCCCTTTCCGTGTTTACAGATCTACGGGAATCTCGTAAGAAACATCCTTCAAACTTTATATATGTGCGTATCTAAATATTAACAGTTTGAGACATACATTTGAATATATCAGAGAACTCCTTGACCATTATAGTGTTGACTTACTTTTTATATCCGAAACAAAATTAGACTACAGTTTTCCGGACTCGCAATTCAGTGTAAAAAATTACCACCTATGGAGGGCCGATAGGTATTCTCACGGAGGAGGAATAGCGGCATGCTTCCGATTAGACTTGCCAGGTCATCATGTTAAAGAAATGGACTTTGGAAATATGGAATCCATCTCTATTGAACTAAATTTAAATAATATTAAATGGCTTATTCAAGGTGTATATCGGCCTCCAGTGGCGGATCCAGAGACCTTTCTGGGGGGGTTTCCAAATTTCCTGGGGGGGTTTCCATGTGGGGAAAAATTGAGGAAAATGGTGAAAATACATGATTTTTAAAGAAAATTCTCAGGGTGGGGGGGTTTCCTGAAGCCCAAAAAACCCCTCTGGATCCGCCACTGGCCTCCTAACACGACAGAAAGTAAATTTACGGATGATTTTTGCAAAACTTTCGACAGGTGCACTACAAAATATGACAATCTGACGGTTATCGGGGAAATAAATTATGACCTACTAACACCTAAAGGTCAGCCTTTGCAGAATATGTGTGAAATTTTTGATTTGTCCAACTTAGTTAAAGAAAAAACTTGCCACCCGAAAAACACTGAACCAACGTTAATTGATGTGATTTTAACCAACAAACCATTATTAACTGGGAATATATGTAATTTTAATGCTGGTATCAGCGATGTACATAATTTGATATCCTTTCAATTCAAAAGCAAAATATCTGTGAGGAAACAACCATTGTTAACATATAGAAGTTTTAGAGATTTTAACATTGAACATTTTCACACTGACCTACATAATGCAGCATTAGAAGAAACTGTAAAACACACAGATGTCAACACAGCATACAACCATTTAAGTAACACACTAACAGAAATTATAAAAAACACGCCCCAATAAAACAAAGAAAAGCCAGATTAAACAAAGCAACCTTCATGAACAAAAACTCAGACAAGAAATTTATCACAAAAAGATGCTTCACAACAAGTTCCTCTCAAATCGCACCAAACACAACTGGGAAAAATATAGAACACAGAGACACAAAGTCACCAAACTCGGAAAACAATCAATAAAACACTACTTTATAGACAGATGCACTGGGGCCAAAACAACCAAAACTTTTGGTAAATAATAAAACCATTTATAACAAACAAAGGCTGCCAAATCAAGTAGACATTACATTAGAAGAACAGGGTAGGATAGTCAACAAACAAAACGAAGTAGATGTTGCAAAGAATATTGAATCAACCAGCCGACCCATAAATGATGAACACCCTAGCCTACAGGCAGTCACCAAAAACAGACAACAAGATAAACGCTTCACATTTCAACCTAAAGACGAAGATTTCATAAACAGTCAGTTAAACAAAATAAACCCTAGAAAAGCAACAGGACACGACAATATTTCACCCAAACTACTACGACTAGCCCAACCCAGCATTATCAAACCAGTCACCACACTTGTAAATCTCTCTCACTACATCAACATTTCCAGACACACTAAAAACAGCACAAGTCAGACCAATGCACAAAAAGAACAGCACCCTTGAGAAAGGAAAATACAGACCGGTAAATATACTCCCGGCACTCTCCAAAGTCTTTGAGAGATCCATACACTCCCAACTCAGTGACTGCTTTGATGGTGTTTTTTATCCCTACCTCTCTGCATTCAGAGCTGGATACGGATATCAGACAGCAGTATTGGGAGTCATAGAGGATTGGAAAATGGCACTTGACCAGAACAAGTATGTAGGCTGCATACTTATGGATCTCTCAAAGGCTTTTGACTGTCTGCCTCACAACCTCCTTCTGCTAAAACTACAAAATTATGGACTTTCTATTTCGGCTTCAGAACTATTGTCCAATTACCTCAAAACAGAAAACAAAATGTCAAATTATGAAAGTACTTTTCAGGAACTATACAAAGGAGTCCCTCGGGATCAATTTTAGGCCCAATTCTGTTCAGTATTTTCATAAACGACATTTTCCACATCATACAACACTGTAAACTTTCTAACTACGCTGATGACAATACAATTAGTAAAGCACACACTTCACTAGACAGAGTCAAAACCTCACTACAAACAGACTGTAATTCACTCATTCGCTGGTTCGCAAACAATCAAAGGCAAGCAAGCCCAGACAAATTTCAAGCCATGGCCGTAGGAAACAAAGCACACAATGAAAACATTACTTTCAACATAGGCAACAACTCAATAAAATGTGAACCAGAAGTAAAATTACTAGGGGTCACCATAGACTTCCATACACATGTATCCAACATCTGCAAAAAAGCATCTAGACAGCTCAACTCACTCAAACGCATATGAACTTTCGATATACCATTCATTTATTCTCTCAAATTTTTATTTCTGTCCACTAACATGGGACTTTTGCGGTGAGACAAACACACACAAAAATGAAAAAATACAAGAAAGGGCTTTAAAATGTATTTACGATGAACACGAAAATACATATGAAAATTTACTAGCCCGTTCAAAATTACCATCACTCAAAATCAGACGACTCAGAAATTTTGCAATAGAAGTATTTAAAATCACTAATAAACAGACACCAACATAAAGTATGGTAAACATTCATTTCGATCTGAATTCGAAGCACCTAAAATATGCAATGCCCTATCAAACCACTTCAGAACAACTACACTAACACAATTTAAGACACTAATAAACAGCTGGTATCGGCCAAAATGCAAATGAAACACATGCAGACAAAACGCATAGGCTCCCAATACAGTTATACATGTTTTTAGCTAAGCTTACCTCTATCTATGTCACCTCTCTATTAGATAGTGCTCATCTTTTAATATGTTTTGCCAAATATTTATTGTGTAACTGTGCATGTCATTTGATGTGTCGGTTTTAATAGCTCATTAGAGCTAATGTTGTATTGTTTTTAACCATACCGACGTTAAATAAAACTTTTGATTTCGATTTGATTTGATTGATTTTGAAGATCAACTTTCGGTAAAAATGCCATCCCAGATTTTAATGTAGGCCTATACTCGTATATATCGGACATCATTGGAGAATGGAAATGGCATTTTTACATCATTAGGGGTGGTATTTTTATGATATAAACCCCTAAAACGTGTAAAACTACCCTGAAATCCATAGTTTAGGTCCAAGTATTGCTCAAATCATCAGGTCCCTGTGGTAACTTAACTTAACTTCATGTTAACTTAACTTAGATTAACTTTTATTTAGATTATTTTGAACGCAGGCACATATACATTTGCCTCTATATTCAGATCACAGTCCTTCAAATAATAATTATATACATGTAATATAGTGTATGTGACATCACTCGGGTGTTATTGTAAACACCCTGTCGCCAGTGTCCCAAAACTTATCAAGGCGATTTTTGGGATAATATGTTAACATATAATAAATACCCCTTGTCGAGCCCCTTACTTCCTCGTGATACTTAAATCGGACTCTACGTTGTCGCTGTGTTTGTGTAACGTAATCACCTACACAGTAATAACAATCAACAATACATAACACCAGAATTACAACTGTGGGGTGTGATAATCACTCATCGTATACTTTTATCTTAGTTCTTACCGTGAATGTTGTTGATAAGATTCCACTGACCTCGTGTAGCTTAAGGGAGACAACTCTAAAATTAAATCACATTTTATCGTATGGTGTCGCGCCATGGTTTTCAGATAGCTTTTATTTCGAAGCCAAAACTTATCATTTTTTTTTTTTTATTTAAAAATTAATTCGTTCCATATTTCCCCTGCCAATATACCATAATTAATACACGATTCACAAACATATCTTTTTTGCAGATCTGTGTTTAATAGTAGAGACAACCGGTTGCTAACCAAACTCCATACCGCACTGCATATGTGGGAATACACACTACATGCATACAAGTACCTCGGTGATATTTTGTCAACTTAACCAGACTCCAGACAATTCATTCTCGGGGGACAAATACATGTCCAACTACGACGCTCAGTAAATCAAGAAAACTAAAAACCTCATAAACAACAGTATTTACTATTCTATCAGAACAGAAGTCTTGAGTGTTTACATGTATGTGAAGGCATGTAATGACGGGGGAAGAGGCTAGGAGATTTGCCGATAGTAGCCACTGATGACAATCAACGAGTCCGTCTTACGCTATAAGTACACAATTATCGGCCCTCGGCTATTTCGATTTAGAAGATAATTCAACTTGGCCAGAATTATCTGATAACCGATACATTGATATATGACGTGTATTGATGTTGTACATTTGGCCCTGCTTGTGATTATGTGTGATTTAATGTCGCATTAACAAAAGCGGGAATGGGAATCGTCTTCATCATACAAATAGTGATCACTATGGCTCTGCTAAGTAGGTTCAAATAATATTATGAACTTTACGAAGGTCTTGTGGCTTATGCATTGTACAAAACGAATGCATATTTCATCGAAGAGTTTATTCATACGAAAAGTGTATACTTTAGTTTTGATTTAAGTGTGTGTCTAAACAATATCGAAATATTTGTTTATGATATCAAAGATAATTGTGCAAATGATATGCTTTCCAGAGATATTAAATTATGGAATCACATGTAAACAAGTAAAATGAAACATGTCCAATGTACGTTTATATTAACTCTCGCTATTGAGGGGTATAGGTAAACATTTGGACTTTTAACAAAATTACGAAAACATATCGTTGTGCTATTCTACCTAGGTGTCCTCTATATATAGTGATGCTATGTATACGACATGTTCATGTATGAATCACAAATAAAGCGGTAATGATTTTATTAAACTGTAAAATTGCTTTGATCAAAATCGATATTGCGTTAAGATAAGGCCAGGGGACCACCAACAATCAGAACCATTCAATGTGTACAAAGAGCCTCATAACCAAGTTTTTTCTTTGCTCCACCCAAAGCGGAGACTGCTTGGAAAAAGTCTTGAAAAAATGTGTTTTATACATTATGAAAAAACCTGTGTTTTACCAACTGCTTTTAAATTGGGAGTGTTATTTTGTTTTCTGTAAAAAAAATAACTCAGTGCGTTATCTTTCAGAAACCGGGTACAGTTAATATAAATATTACATTTTTCAGATAAAAGAAAAAACATATTGTGTCACAAAACGTAACTAAGGAATACATGTTGGAATATTACTAATAATGAAACTAGAATGTAAACTGTAGACCATACACCACAGCAGCTGTATCTTCGTGAAAAATAATTTCATTAGTTTATCGTGTCAAAATTGATCAACTTCCAGTCCCGTTATATCTACTTCCGGTGTAAGCATTCATCTCGTTACATTTGTATATGTCACTTCCGCTGTTGATTGTATCTGATGCGAGTAATGAGTTGGCTATTTGATGACCTGCTTAATCGAACACTTTAGTACAAATGTGCCAGTCATGAACACCCGCGATCGATCTGTAGAGGCGCTGTTTACGATGTGACCACAGATGGGTCTAGCGGAGGCACTGCGCGCGTAATAATGGTTGTACTAATGTCGTTAATGAGTGTCGTGGGACCTCTGATATTGAAAGTGCACACAAACATTGTAACGTAATGATAATAACGATGTTATCGTAATTACCAGGTTATTGTCTCAAACTAAGTCCCTCTGTATCGTATACAAACAATCTCCATTTGATTTAAATTCATGTCCAGGAACAATGTGAAGCAACATCTTCCCCTGTGTCACCGAATGTCGTGCTAATCCTTCTTATGGTACTGTTTTAATGTGGTGACGTCATCCGTGTTTACAGTATAAACATCATCACTCATTTAGGTAGCATCTGGCTCGGCTTGAAGTAGAACCAAGGCTGCTTGGTCTGGCTGAACGGGACAACAAACAAACTAAACTGTACGTATATAGTAATGTGCATGTATAACACCGGGCACGTGCGCCTTTATTTCATATCTCAGCTCACAATTTATAGGAACCCGATATAAAAACACACACCATGGTTTGTTATCACAATGCAGTCTTACATTTATATTACGGTTCCCCTTATTTATATACTCTAAAACTTTTATATCAAGTGTGTCATTGTCTGAAAAACAGAAGTAATGTTAAACTCTTCGCACGTTTGTAAGTAATAAAACAAAATGTCCTTGTTTCGGTGGTTCCACTGAATTGCGCAATTTGGTCAAAACCTGTCATCACAACAAGGTATATAACACATTTCTCGCAATTTCAAGTTCATAAACGATTTCGTTGATAGAATTCCTTAATCTTTTGGTACAATATGTGAGTTTTAACTTGAGACATTCAATTATCCATATATTCGCTGTAATCATATTCGTTGTATCATATCGACCACAATAAAACTAAAATATATACATAACAAGTTAAATGTGATAGTCAGACCAAAATGACCTTTCACGTTGACCTTTCCTGTCGACCTTTCACGCTGAACTTTCACGTTGACCTTTCACGCTGAACTTTCAAGTTGAACTTTCACGTTGACCTTTCCCGTTGAACTGTACGTGGATTATCTATATTTGGCATTGGTATTTATATATAGTTTACACTATGCACGCCCCATAGTGTTACAACTGTTCGACCAGTAACATCGCTGATCACTTTTTTTAATGATAGATCTGCATATTCCGCCTATAAGAACATTAACTCACCTATTATGAATATGGTAACCAGAGTTCAACACGACAGGTCATTGTGGCTTGACTAAATACATAGGATATTCGAATTCATACGTATTTGATTATCAAAATCAACCTCACAATCGTGTCCATCCCCTATGTCAACAGTATACCATTGGCTGATTTATCGCCGAACACAACATAATCCAACGTAATACTAACTCAACAATTTCAAGTCGGTTTAACCTATCAATCTACAAACTGGGCATCTTCAAGATTTCTTCCTGTAAAAGATGATAGTTCTTTTGTCAAAGTGCCTCTACATTTGAATTTTTGTGTGTTTATGATCTCCCCTGAGTTAAAAATACATATACAACGATTATGAACCACGATCTTCAGTTAATCCACGATACCACAGCAAATGCACAATACAAAAAAGTGCTTTTTTAAGTGCGACGTTTTCTGCATAGCAGAGCCTTAGAAGCGGCACGAAATTCGGCACTGCTAAAATTATAAAGGAATGGGTTTATCGTGGAATTCATGTACGACAACCAAAATGTGATATTGAAAACAAGTGGCGGGACTACTTCCGGCATGGCACAACTGACGTCAAACACAATGTGAAACGGAAGCCAACAGATAACGTAACCGACTAAAATGTAGGTTAGAGTTTTGAAAACTTTCCTTTCGTTTCGTTCGTATTTTCTGTCCTCTTTTTGTTTCCTCTTCTTGGAATGACCTCGGTCCCTTATGTGTGGTCTCTCCTGGTCATTTTTAGACGGAAGGTCACTTGTATGACTATCCGTCTCCAGTGCTCCGGACGCTGCTGTTGTTATGGTAACGGTAGAAACAAATGCTTTCTTGTCGTTCTTTTCCAATAACGTTTTACACGAGTCAGGTCTGAGATACGGGTCACTCTTCCAGGGAAACGCTGAATTCGTCGTCATTTCCGGTCCAAGTTTTTGATCACCAACCTTTTCAGCCGATGATGCTTTCAGAGCTTTTTCAGTCGCTTGATCTGAAAGATTTATGTCTGTATCTGACTTTGCATAAATTTTAACAAGATTCGTTGTTTTCCTCACGAGTTCTGGACTAGTATGATGATATACCGCCCCAACCTTCTTCCGGTTTAGAACAACAAGAAAGACTCTTATATAGCATAACAACATGACGACGAATGATCCATGATGGCCAATGGTTGCTATGACAATGACGAACTCCTTGTTTTTGGATGGTTCCCAGGTGCATTCGTAAGGTACGGAGTTGTTTACCCGGTCTAGAATACAAGGAGGGAGCCACAGGACCACCATCAAAACCCTGAAAAGGACAAACGGACATTTTAGGCACCTGGTCATCATTTACAGTATTTGTTTTTATCTAATTAATAAGTGTCCCTGCCATGAGGTTATAATATTTTGGAGATGACAACTCGATTCATTACATAAAATTGTATTGATTAATGTCTATGCTAATTGTATCCATTGTATCTCCATGTACTGTAAAGCGCTTTAGAGTGGCCTATGTTAGTTAGATAGGGTGCTATATCAAATGTTGTTGTATATATTATGTACATGTTAGTTCCCCTCCAACAAATATATAGGTGGGAGGCCTTACCTAAGCACTTTCCGGGTGGGAATACAAACATTTTAGACACCCATAGTATAGTATGTAACGTAGATTGCATACAGTAAAATAGGTTAAGGCAATTAGAGTAACGACTACACAGGTTTAATGTTCAATAGAAGAGACTTGTAAACTAATCTAAAAAAGTACACAATACTAGGCACGGAGACCGGCCTGCAAACAGTCATGCATTCAAATCAAAATCTTGTTTCATGTTTAACAACATTTAAATAGCTTGTTTTTTATGTCTAATTGAAAAGAAAACCGACCTGTTTCATTTCGTTTGAAGTCTGATCCTCTTAAACTTCACCTGTTTCATTTCGTTTAAAGTCTGATCTTATTAATTATTTCCTGGCTTGTGCTGAAGAGGACATTAGGGTTATCGTTTGTGACCAGTGGTGGATTGGTACATTAGGGTTATCGTTTGTGACCAGTGGTGGATTGGTACATTAGGGTTATCGTTTGTGACCAGTGGTGGATTGGTACATTAGGGTTATCGTTTGTGACCAGTGGTGGATTGGTACATTAGGGTTATCGTTTGTGACCAGTGGTGGATTGGTACATTAGGGTTATCGTTTGTGACCAGTGGTGGATTGGTACATTAGGGTTATCGTTTGTGACCAGTGGTGGATTGGTACATTAGGGTTATCGTTTGTGACCAGTGGTGGATTGGTACATTAGGGTTATCGTTTGTGACCAGTGGTGGATTGGTACATTAGGGTTATCGTTTGTGACCAGTGGTGGATTGGTACATTTGTATTTTGTCATTAGGTAGCAAATATTTTCAAACAATACTATCATATTTAAACAGACTTTTGATGACGGACATTTCGAAATACAAAATTCATGCAGACAGAAAGTCGAGATAAAAAGGTTGCTTAAATGTCACCGCTTGGATTTCACCGGCACCACCAACTTCGAAATACAAGGTTCTCACTTTTGATACCCCGTATCAACTCTGCATTCCTGGGTTTTCTCATGACAGAATCGGTGTTCCGATCACGAGTTCACTAATCTAGAAACCGCTACGGAATCCTGCAGAACCTGCTATCTCAGAGTTGTGTTTTAATTAAACTATCAAAGTGAATGGCACGGGAGCATAACGATCTCAAAAAAGGTGTTCTCATAATCTTCAAAATACAAGATTAGGGTAAGGTATTGATGTATGGAACTAATCAAATAGTAAGCCGTAAGTCTTTAATTGTCACGAAGGGGAGCAGAAAAGATATACATATACATGTACCTATATATATACCGTGACAGTAAGACTTGGTTTCGAATATATGTCAAGTTCAACTCGAACTAGTTCTTGATCATCGCACCTTGTACACATGTGTAACAGGAGCGGGGAAATGCACGGTCAGAGCTAGACCGGAGTTCGAATCCAGGACTCTCTGAACTTTAGACAGACGCTCTAACAACTGAGCCACTTGGGCGCTGAGGATCGACCCAGCCTAGTTTTGCTACATTCCTCCCTCCTTGGTTTTAATTCCTCGCCCCCGAATATATCACTAGTTACAATTCAGGGTCTGGTATCCACTTGTCAAGCATTCCCGCACATTTTAGCAGGAACCGTACTGATCCGGACCGAACACAGAATATATCATTCTTGTTTAGAAGATTTTCGGACAGTCTGTTTTTGTTGAATAGTCACTCCCATGACGTTCGCTCGGTTGGGAAATTTTGAACGTTTGAAAACTGAGAACTCTACTGACGGAATTTAGCAGCTGTTTGTGATAATAAGTGCAGCTTTGGATCAATAAATAATCCATTTATCGATATGTGTGAGGGATGTGTTGTGTCATAGTCGATTTTTGTTGTCAGCACCTCAAAACTCTCCAAACGGTGTCGGAGAATTCCACGTTTTCATATAATAGTGCGCTCCGGCCCCACACCAGACATCTATCTGTCAAAATGTCTGGTGTTCGGGCCACAGGAAACTCGGGCTATTAGAATCCAAGAGTATTTACTTTTTTCTGTGATGCTATTTACCACGGGATTTATCTAAGTAACAGATTCCTGTGCCCCTGATTTTTTTCTGTATTTACGATAACGATATTTTGATGTTTGTGAATATTAAGAGTCATGTGAAGGTTAACCTTGTAGTCAGACTCACGCGGTGTTTATAAACACTGACCACTGGTCAAGATTGATCCCTCATGCAGTCTGTTCATTATTCTCGTGGTCATCAATCGTGGTTTAATATCAAAAGAGAGGATGGTTTTCATAACAATGGCATATGGTCAAAAGATTAAAGAATGTATTAGTTACGTATATTGTGTTGACATTCATTAACAATGTCACGTGTCTGGTACCGAGATATGTAGTGGATATACTGTATCAACCGAGTGTATTTCGTGGTATATACTTATACGAATTGAACGACATTTTTTCAACGTTCATGCCGGTATGACCGCAGCTAGGCGGTTTCATGGAAAATATTTATGTAACCGATTTGCGTTCATACCGGCATGGATATTGAAAAACGCTGTGTAATCCTAACGTTTACATTCTAAATATTTAGTTGTTATTGATCTAAATACATAATTTCCTTATATTTTCGATAATGAAGTGTCTGTGTCGTCAGCGCAAACACGAATTTTGGAACAGCCTAACGTCCCCAAATTGTTCGATTCTAACGGCTCTCTCATGTTAATCGAGGCGGAAGGAGAATCTGCACTTAATTGCAAATATTTACTTCATGGGAAACTTGGACATGTATTTCATGTCAAATGATTTATCAATAATGTCTAATAGTCAAAGTTGTTAAGTGCAATATTCCGTCTTTGCGTATTGCAGAGTTATCTTATCTTGGGAGCAGGTATTGATTGTTACGGCATTGGTTTGTGCGAGAAAATTACGTCGTTTTCTCAAAAATTGATGACGTTCCTCTCACAAAAAAGTGACGTAACAATCAATACCTGCTCCCAAGAGAAGATAACTCTGCGTTACGCAAAGACGGAATAGAGCTTCAGCTATATAAGCGCCTTGATGGATTGGCACAACCGCAATATATGCTAAAGAATATAAATGTACGATACAGCTTGACACTTGAATTAGCGCAGTCATGATTTAGCGCAATGTTTATAAAACAAAAAGAGCGAAAATGAGATTCACGATTACCGCTACCGTACGTACAAGGTAAGTTTATCGTACGCCAGGCATGGACTTCAGGGCAATGCTCGAACTAGTTAAAATAATTCAGAATGGGCGCTGCTTTAAACTCAGTTTATTTGTTTTTGAGATGGTATCTTACGAAGTATGATTTAACATGATTCAGTTATATCTATTACGGTGAGTTAATTTTGAAATATAACCCTATTTGCTAAGCGAGATGGCTGTAGTTGTTAACCGGCTCACGAGAATGAATACTGATAGCAAGGCGGACATTTTGTTTCTTCTATAACTCGAAATGCAGTTGCTTAAGACTTTATAACGTCACAAGGAATCCCTATCAGGGCTCTGTAAACAGCACGTGGCCTATATCGTCATCGTAACATATGTGTTGTTGTCGTTACCGTAAAATATGGTGGTAACGTGAGCGGAAAATAACACAGCTTACAAATACGCGTGGAAAGGTAAGAAAAATCAAACTTAAGAAGATATCTTATTAAAGACATGATTTCTTTATCATTCAACTTCAGAAAATCATTATTTATTGCATCTTCACATTTTGTTTCATCGTGATTTTAGATTTTTAATATCAGATCACGTGGAAAACCAGTAGTACACAGCGGATCATATACATGTACATGTACATGACTGCTTACTTAAGATATTTCCGCAAAAATAATCCAGCGTAGTAATTGATAAAAGAACAATGCATGTTGATGCAAAATAGGCGAAATCAGCCAAAAATATCACATGATGCATCGTCTGTGTGATGTGATGTTTGATTGACAACACTGTTGTTAAATTAAGCTGAGTCGGTTATGGAGATGTCGCAAGGGATCCTGGGATATAATAACAGGCCGTGATGCCCCAAGTCATCTCACCTGTGCAACAGGTGTGCGTCACCTTGGTCACACCTGGCCTATAAATGTAGATCTGTTCGAACAGCTATAAGACATTCGTCAACTTGACATGTACTTGTTGAAATGTATAACTTGACACGCTTTATTTTCGTGGGGCCCACATTTCGTGATATCTCCACCAAACATCATATCGTTGGTACATGAACTCGTGGATTACGAGTACCCACTTAAATGGAGAATAGCTTTATGTCAAACTTGTAATTACATCGTGGACCCATGCATTCGATGAAGGAGATTACCCACGAAAACCCCACGAAAATGAGTGATTTCATAGTATACTGCAATAAAATTGGACTATTTTGCAATACAATACCATAATCGTCAAATTGACAAGGTAGGCTTAGATAACGTCACTTACCAAACCGCTATGATGAGCCGGACACACTTGTCGGTATTATGGTGCGCTCTGTAGTGGACAGTCCAAGTTACTGACCAAAACCTGTCTATTGAAATCACCAGTAGTGTAAAAACGGACGCAAACGTCATCCCATAGTCGACAAAAATCCACACTCCACACCAGAATTCCCCAAACGGCCAATATCCCAGAATAACCTCTGTGGTATATGAAATCATAGCGGTCACCGCGACCAACATATCCGTCACGGCCAAATTGATCACGTAGAAATTGAACACAGTCTGAAGATGTTTATTCCTAGCCACGGCCGTAAGTACCAGTACATTTCCAAAAATTGTAATAAGAATAATAATATACATAAAAATCCCAATGACAATCCTTTCCCATGGTATAGCCGGGTCCCCGATCGCTAAGGTAGAGTTAGTGGACGAAGAGTTATAGATGTCCGGAGAGGTTGCCATGTGTTCCTCGTGGTGAAGCATTGACCACTGCGATGACCAATCCGGCAGGCAGCAATAAACTATGAAGTACGGCACCAACAGATTGTATACATACATAGTGTAGGCCGGATGTTGATTAAATACGTAAATCGTTCGCGCGCTGCTGATGGTTGTATCTCCCGCGGGTGTTTCCTATTACCAGCTCGAGTGAGCTGATCAGTTCACGAGATTTTCTGACCAGGCAAATCAACAAAAGTTTTAAGTTACATGTAAGTTGAAATGGATGTTTCTATTTCTAGACGGGGATACGCACATTATCTCATTGCCGAAAGCACATATCTTGACCTATTAGCCGCTCTGGTCATTTTCCTTTCACATTTGCAGTATTAGTTAAGTCCATCATCCAATACGAATACAAATACCAGAAATGATATTATTGGAATATAATCATCTACAATTCAGATTCACTCGACAAGACTATTTACTACAAGGCGCGATATCATCTTGTTATCATGGTTCGGACAGTGAAGACAAGAATGTGATGACTATCACAGCTGTATAGCAGGCAACAGACAAAGTACGAAAGCCGATTCACAAACGTTGTACAATTGTGCTTCTTATCATTGCGATAAAATTGAGTTTCATCTTAAATTGGTTTCATCTAAAACGAGATTGAACATAAGTCAGGTCCATTGGTCAGATGTACGTTAGGTAATTTTCTGATTATGACAGAAGTTTGGTACTGTAACACTATGCGTAGGTGATGAAACAAATATACTCGAAGCAGAGATGTAGTTTCATCCCCGATAACACGGACCTCGTGGCGATACAGCACTCACCTTTCTATCGGCAGAAGATCATCTACATATGTACGTATTTTCTCTTGTTGCTTGTTTTTGTTAGTGATGGTAGGTAAGTGGTACATATTCTCAAATCGAGTCACTCAAACCAACTTCCGGTTGGCCCTTGACCTCGACGGTTTCTGTATGTACTGTACTTCATCGTAAACGAACGCGTTGTAATGTGATAAAAAAAAACTACTGAGACGTTGTTGAGAATAAATTAGACACACCTTGACTCTGACCCGCTATCTATATTTTATTTAAATTTGCATAGTAAAACGATGTTTTAACTAAGGATCCCTGTCCCACTGCATTGCGGGTTTTTGTACAAGCAGTAACCTTCCCTTGAATTTCGTTTTAAACATAACTGTAGCACAGTTGGGAAGAGGGTAGTGTATCGATCTGAAGTGCAGGGTTCGAATCCCAGTCTAGTCCTTCTGCATTTTTACAATCAGTGCACTATTATTGGTTATTTTTTTATTTATTTCTTCTCTATCATTTTTCATAATAGTCAAGCAAGGCATGGTTTTCTTTTCAGAATTGAAAAGCTATAGTTATGCCGACAAAATGAGTTTCTAGTGGATAAGTACATATTTTGGCAGCGGTACACGAATCCTTAATTTGCGTGAATGAAAATCTATTACAAATCAAGTGTATTTATAGGAATATCATCGAAAGTTTCAATTGTCAATCAGAGTTTTATGTGAGCTTAGAAATGTCTAATTCAACATCACAGTCCGTGTTTATAGCAAGCTATGTAACGTGATGTGGCATACTGCTCAATGTAAATAAAAACAAAAAACACAACCCGATTCTGTCTCGTTCATTTTGAAACTGCAAACATACATGTGACTGACCCATTCCAAAATATCAAAAAAATATTTCAGAGTAATGCCACGTGTATAACATTGTTTTTGCGTTCCTTTGTTTTCCTTAAAGATATCTGCGACTTCACTGTCATCTGTACCTGTAGTATATATCACAAATCTCATTTATAATGTGTAAGGTAGTATATAACCTTAACTCTAACACAAATCACAAATATAATGTATAAGGTAGCATATAACCTTAACTATTACACAAATCTCATGTATAATGTATAAGGTAGCATATAACCTTAACACTTAAACAAATCTCATGTATAATGTGTAAGGTAGCATATAACCTTAACTATAACACAAGTCACAGATATGATGTATAAGGTAGCATACAACCTTAACTCTAACACAAGTCACAGGTATAATGTATAAGGTAGCATATAACCTTAACTATTACACAAATCTCATGTATAATGTATAAGGTAGCATATAACCTTAACTCTTAAACAAATCTCATGTATAATGTGTAAGGTAGAAATATATCCTTAACTCTTACACAAATCTCATGTATCAAGTGTAAGGTAGCATATAACCTTAACTCTAACACAAATCTCATGTATAATGTGTAAGGTAGTATATATCTTTAACTCTAACACAAATATCATGTATAATGTGTAAGGTAGCATATAACCTTAACTCTAACACAAGTCACACATGTAATGTGTAAGGTAGCATATAACCTTAACTCTAACACAAATCTCATATATAACGTGTAAGGTAGCATTTAACCTAGATCTCTAACACAAGTCATAGATATGGTGTGTAAGAAGAAAATTACCTTAACTCTTACACAAATCATAGGTATAATGTGTTAGGTAGCATATAACCTTAACTCTAACACAAGTCACACATGTAATGTGTTAGGTAGCATATAACCTTAACTCGAACACAAAATACAGGTACAATGTATAATGTGTTAGGTAGCATATAACCTTAACTCCAACACAAATCACAGGTATAATATGTAAGGTAGTATATTACCTTAACTCTTTATACAAAATACATGTATAATGTGTACGGTAGCATATTACTTAACTCTTATACAAAATACATGTATAATGTGTAAGGTAGCATATTACCTTAACTCTAACACAAATCACAGGTATAATGTGTAAGGTAGCATATTACCTTAACTCTAACACAAATCACAGGTATAATGTGTTAGGTAGCATATAACCTTAACTCTAACACAAGTCACACATGTAATGTGTTAAGTAGCATATAACCTTAACTCGAACACAAAATACAGGTACAATATATAATGTGTTAGGTAGCATATAACATTAACTCCAACACAAATCACAGGTATAATATGGAAGGAAGTATATTACCTTAACTCTTTATACAAAATACATGTATAATGTGTACGGTAGCATAGGACTTAACTCTTATACAAAATACATGTATATTGTGTAAGGTAGCATATTACCTTAACTCTAACACAAATCACAGGTATAATGTGTTAGGTAGCATATGACCTTAACTCTATAACACAAATCACAGGTATAATGGGTTAGGTAACTGGTTGCATATAACCTTAACTCTAACACAAACTGCTATCTTTGTGCCTACAATTTTGATACGACATATTCCAGGGGTGTATAGAGCGTAAGTGAGCTTAACCCCTGGTGTACCGAGGATTTGTAAAATAGTGGATGCGATAAATTTGGAAAGTTGTGCTCTCACAAACTTGCTACCAACACTTGTAAATAAGTAACACAAAACGTTGTAAAAGATATTTTTACAGGGAGCTAGACTAGTAAAGAGCAAGTATACCCGTATCGCACACTTTTAATTTGATCATCGATATCGATCCTAAATACGTTTGAGATCTCCAGGACCAAAATATATCAAATTGTCAGTTGGACTTATTCAAGTTCAAGTTCAAGTTCTTTATTAACTTTGAGTCTTGCGACTCATCAGTGTAACACATATACATGATATATATATATATATATATATACTTTCTCATAACATTGACAAATATCGAAAATACTAATAAATACACAGACGAGACAAAACACTCGGAGAGCATAACTACTTATGTTAATAAAGCTCTTCTTGAATTTGCAGCTTTAATGTATTTGGCCAATTTTGCTAATTCATTTGTGTTTTGTCCGTTAAATAACTGAATTAATTTAAACATGCTCGGTTTTTTACAATAGTACTTTTTTAAAAATTTCTCACGTAAATCAGAATAACAGGGGCATTTAAGAATAAAATGAAATTCATCTTCGACATCATCTATATCACAAGCGGTACAGATTCTTAAAAGTCGCGGAATATTTTGATAACGACCTTTCTCTACATTTAAATTATGGGCTGAAAGCCGAATTTTTGTTATTTCTTTTAAGTAACCTTTCATAAACGATTTTCTTAAATAACCCTGTATACCAACTTCTTTGTTAAGACATGTATAAAAAAATCCTTTTGATGATGTTCTAATTTGTTCTATACAATCTTGTCTATAAATATCTAAAAGTCTTTCTTTAATTATAATCAAACAGCTATTATCAATGTTATCTGTTTGCCATATGTAACCTAGACCTATTCTATATAATTCATTCTTGATATTAATTACCCATTTGTCGTTACGCACTAACATGTCTTCATAACATGATTTTAAAATGCAATTATCAGTATTTATAATCTTTATCCAATACTTAAAAATTCTGAATTTCCTCAGCAGTGATAATGGATATCTACCAAGCTCTAAATAGACCATAGCATTACAAGTATTTTTACGCACACCGAGTAATTTTTTACAAAACATAATATGTATTTTTTCAACATCCGGGGCTTTATGAAAACCCCATATTTCTGAACCGTAACACAAAATACTGTTTACATATGTATCAAATACTGATAGTTGGGTTTCAATATTAAAATAATTATTACGACATACATTCATAACTGAAAATAAAGCTTTCCTTCCTTGATCTGCTATTTTTTGCTGTGTTTTTCTGAAAGTGCCGTTGTAATTTAACAACATACCTAGATAATTAAATTCATTTACGATTTCCAAAGGACATCCGTTATATGTCCAATTTTCATTGTTTCTTAAAATACCACCATTTCTAAAAACCAGCACGTAGCGGGCGTACGTCGTGAGCACAGGGGCCTGCAAATTTGTTACATCTATATTTGAACGTAAACTAAAGTGTTTAGACAAATTTTACACGTTTGGGGGGTTTAGATAAATTTTCGATCAAAATGCCACTCCAATGATGATAATATACGAGCCCTTTCTCGTATATTATCATCATTGGGGATGTCATTTTAGTTTAGGTCCAAATATAGCTGTAACAAATTAGCAGGTCCCTGTGGTCGCGAGATTGGATCTGCAACAGTACGACCATACACTTTTTTCTAGGTTGTTGAGTCTGAAGTCCATAGTCATGTCCTAGCTAACCTGTAATGTGTATGCTATCAAGTTTTACGGGTGATAAAGATAAACCTTCCTGGCTAGGCCGAATTCACCTACAACACTCTCAGAGCATTTCAAAGGTAAGTTATTCAATAAAGTTATATTAACTTTACAGTCATATTCATATTTAATATGTCAATGCTGGTGTGCTTAAGCAGCATAGCTGTCATTACCTGTTTATAAACGACACAACATATACATTATTCTAATTATATCGGTACATACTCGGAGTTGTAAAGTAAGACATGCGTTTTTATTATATAATAATACACATTTAAATCACAGATTCAAACCGACTTCGATTAAAACATAAATTATTCCTTCAATTCAAAAATATGGTCGCGATATTGTATTGTCAACGACAAGTTAAGCTTTCCGTAATACTCCATGTGTATATATTAGATATTGTGTAGGTGTTGGTTGTCTGTCTATCACCAGCGACTATCCGCACTCATCACCTACTTTGTTATGTAATATTGTTTTCATATCTTAAATGTATGATAAACGTATCGAAAATAACAATCAACAAAAATATGAAATTTATTTTAATATTTATATTAATACTTATAAATTTGTGAAAGGAGCGCGGCGGTCCCAGTTTGTTAAGAACCAAACAGCAACCGGCTCGTTCCTCCGTTTGCAACCCAGGTTCGATATGGGAGCACTTGTTTTGTTTTACCGGACACAGAATAACAATTAACAGTGTATTTACATGGACAGAATATTTACAACAAGCAAACGCAAACAGTGACATAGGCCATTTCACACATGTAACACGAACAACAAACTATCGGAACGACCCTTCCACCTACATGCCTTCATCTAACCACCCAAAACTCCCATCTCTTTCTCCCTAACTCCCAAGTTAACCCTCTAAAATCCCTTATATAACCTCTGGTAGTGGAGAAGGAAAGGTGGGGTGGGAGGGGGTGGGGGTGATGGAGGGGGTGTTACCTAGAAAAGTAAACGTGTAAACTGTGAAATCGATCCGCATTGAATAAACTATGAATTATACAAATTACTTGACATGCATCCTGGTAGAAATTTATAAATGAACGGAATCAATGTAGCAAAGAAATCAGGCAAAATAACTTAAATGCAATTTCATAAACACATATAACAACTTACACATAATGAAAAATAAAAAAATAATTATAACTATCAAAACCTATTGCTGGATGTGATGTTATGATGCACATGTCTAAAGATACTTATATTGTTTTCTACAGGAAGTTGACTATTACCAAACAAAAGTAATTCTGAATTAAAATCATCATGCAAGGCGTTCAAAGTTTGGAGCAGGGTGTGTCTTTCATTGTTACATTTGTAAAAAGTAAGCACTCACAAAAAAAGTGGAAGGCATTTTCACAGAGAGGCCAAAATAACAAACTGGACTATCACCAGATTTACTCTAAAAAGATCCTACACTGATATCTAAGTTTGGTGTGCAAAATGTTCAGTTAACGTTCACCGAAACCTAGGTAGATTGGTGGAGGAGATTGAAAATTTGAAGTTAACGAGCTTTTGAAAGAATGTAACGAAGTCAATTATCGTACTGAAAGGTCCAATGAATTCCAACCGCGAAGAGTTGAAGGGATAAAAGATGAATTTGTTAGAGAAAGCCTGAAAGGAAGAACTCTATTATCATTATTGTTTCCAGGGGTGTAACGGTTATTTTCTGCAACTGAAGATGGCAATAGAGAATTTAAATAGTCAGGAGTTAGTTTGTTGTGCATTTTAAACAAAAGTTGGAGTTTCTTGCGTTTTCTTCTATTCGAAAGAGTTTCTAGACCAGTTTCAAAAAGTTAGTCTTCAATTCGGGCATATGAAGGAAGACCAGTTATAATACGAGAAGCTTCTATAAGGGCTTTCTTTAACATTTCTGTAAAATAAATGATTTATAAATCTTTAAAAGATTATTTCGATTTGATAAGTGTTTTAGTCTACGTAAGACGTTGACTTTTTTTCATAACTGAAGTATATATTTCACAAATATGATCCCCCCATTTTGCATTTGAATTAAAAATTACACCTAAATGTTTATGATGATCAGTAAAATTTAAAAATTCGCCATTAAATTCTAATTGTAATTCTTCATCAATTTCAAACAAGTCTGAAACAAAATGACCTCATTGTGTCTGGATTGAATGTTACTAACCAAGTTTGGGACCATGCATTAAGAGACTCGAGATCTCTATTCATATTTCATAACCGTTTTGGTTTCTAGACATGAAGAGGATGAAGTATCGTCTGCAAAAAGACGAGAGGTTGAAATATAGATAAGAAACAAAAGAGGTCCAAAAATCGAACCCTGAGGAACACCTTTTCAATGAAACTTAAGTCGGAGACAGAATTATTCAAAAATACTCTCTGGTGCCTCTGAAATACAGAGAATATCAATGCAAGCAATACAACCGTCATGGTCACTCAATGATTTGTCTTTGGTTATAACAGAAGAATCAATACAGGAAAGATAATCGGTTAAAAGTATAGGATCAAGTAGACTAGATCGAGTCGATCCAATACGAGTTGGTTCATTGATAACATTTGAAATAATAAAGGAATTAATAATATCAAGAAAAACATGGTTACTAGATGCATTTAATAAGTCGGCATTAAAATCTCCCGTGATTGTAACATTTAGTGAAAAATCTAGTGGAAGGTTGAAAGACAGACGTAAATTTTCCCAAAAAGGTAAAACAGAATTTTCAGGTCTGTAGGCCGAACCAATAACTAATTCAAAAATTGGTAGAGTGACTTTTAACCAAATAATCTCATCACCTGGATATTCTAATTCCAGCAAACGGTCAACTTTTAAGATATGATTGATTGTCGAAAAGGTACATGCAAACCAGTTATAAGTAAGTCATCTGTAGAGACCTGATCATCTAAATGAGTTTCAGTTAAGCATATAATATCATATTCACCAGATATATCCTCTATGTAGTCCAATTTATTCCTAACACTTCGTATATTAATGTGAAATATTGAAAGCTCTCCACGCCCCGGGCCAGGATTGGACTCGATGTCCATATGCTGAAAAAATATTAAAAACAAGATTATCGAGAACTCAATATTTCGAAAGCACGAACAGATTAAAAGGTTTAAATGATAAATAAACCACGATATATATCACCGACCAAGGCCGAACACCCTTATAAATAAATCTAAACAAGAAAGAGAACAATTCAAACGACTAAAATACAATGGTATAACACCCCATACGTACATTTGTATATTAATGATTATATATGTTATGAAGGTAAAAAAACGCCATAATTTGTTTTTCAAACATTCTAGACTTGTTTCATTTTTATTATGAAATAGTCACTTCTTTTTGGTAGAGAGCCCTTTTCTCTTTCCAAAAGATATGCATTCGTGTAGAAATGAGAGACGTGAATAAAAATATTGTTTATAATAGTATACTCATGTATATTATTAGTTATCTCTGGGTTAGGACGGGTCTGCGGGGTCATACACCCCGAGCCGAAGGCGAAGGGTCTATAAAGACCAAAGCGGTCTATGAGCCCGTAGACCCCTCCTTACCCAGAGATAACGAATTTGTCACCCTGACAATCTTTTATAACTGTTTTTTACTGCCAAATTTTAAGTCATTTTATGAGTTTGACATAAACTTGACAGCTTCTCAAAATAGCCCCTACCGGACACCTTTTCGGCAATATTTCCAATCAGATATCAGGTATCCAATCAGAAAGAGTGTTACAAATTATAAGGGTGACACATATATATATATGTTTGCGCATGTTACAATCACGGCTATATATGTTAAGTTGTCATAGTCTCAGTGGTCTGTTTTCCCAGGTGTCACGTTACCGAGGTCTACAATGGGTACAGTCCTACAGGTGGTAGAGGCGGCTGTTCTCGCCTTCATCATTTGGAAGGTCGTCAACTTCCTGCTGTGGTACCGACGGGTGTGTGCCATTTCTAAGGTAGTGACCCCTATCGGACCGACTCACTGGTTCTGGGGTAACCTACACAATGTAAGTATATAACGAAGGCCCTCGTTGGCCCAGTACTTTGGTTCTGGCCTAACACATACAGGAGACTTTTTACCACTGTCAAAAACTTGTAAACCTGATATTTTTTTTAGTATGACTATGCTTTAAGTATCAATAAATTGCTTCTGTAAACACCTTTCCTTGAAATATGTTTCATAGATGAAAAAAACAAGAGAACATTAAAGATGTGAATTTGTTAACAAATATACACTTTTATCATTTCTAAGTATTGTCTTAACTGTAGAAGCTTCTATTGTATCAAATTAGAAATATGTCAAATCCATATTCAGGTTCATGGAACGATTTACATATTGTTTCAATTTAGAGAATACTCCTTGATGATCCAAACATTGTTATTTGCTTTTGTATATAAATAATTATGTAGGGCATAAGCACTATGAAAGGTTCCATCTCGTAGCAATTTGATTATCCAAAATGGAGGTTTCGAAGAAACAATAAACAAGAAATTTAACTATTAACCAATCTTGTATAGTGTGATTGTAAAGAGTTAATTTATTCTTTGCGCTGTTCGTATTTGAATCATCATTTCTTCGTTTTCAGTTTAAAAATTTCAAGGAGTTCCACAAGCTGATGTTTGAAGTGCTGGATAAGTCCAAACCGCGGGTTGTTGTTTTTTGGCGATTGTTCTTTAGTCCTATTTTCATGTGTGTTCACCCGGACACCACACGAGTCATATTCAAGTCCTCCGAACCCAAACCACGAGACAGAATGTCCATCTACCAGCAGATAGTGCCTTGGATAGGTGAGAGATTGTCTCCTACTGAAGCAACTAATGTAGGCCATTGGAAGGACTGTTAGATTAGTTCTTTTTGAGGGAACAATATTTACCTGCTTTTGCCATTGCAAAAAGTGTATTTTGATTTTCTGTTTTTGTTTTGTTTTATTAATTTGCTACCATTTAAATAATTCTTCACGTTTTAATAGCAAAATGTCATCGCGAAATCAACTTTCTTTTCTGTTATTTTCCAATTTCTCCTTACGAAATCGTTGCATTGCATTAAAAGTTATAATAACGGATGCATTATAATGTAACCGTGAAATAGGTTTGTTTGTTTAGTCACGTAATGTATTAACGCATGGTCACGTGACCGCCATGTTACAAGTTTCCAAAAGTTCATCAATTTCAAGAGTTGTCATTTATTGCATTTTCATTTACGTGTCATCAGTTGTCAAAGCGGTAAAAGGTTTATTTTTTCTTCGCTAATGCCGACAAATCTGGACAGCTTTTTGGCAGAGTTTTACACAGAAAGTTGTCAAACATTCCTGTTTGAATATGTATTTGACCTCTGTCGGGGAAAAAACCTCTCAGCATGTTTAATTGCGTCAATAAAGTTAAGTATTGTGTGTTTGATATTCTTGATATTAATGTATTAAAACAGTTACGTCATGCCTTCCAATACCATGGCTTCATGCAATAAAAATCGGTCAACTACCAGAACCTTTGATCAATTAGCTTTGAATATTCATGAGAGGCCACTCAATAATTCTATCAGATAATCACGTTTGATGCTTGGCATACCTTGTGTCAAAACCTTCATTAACATTAAAACATTTATAAAGTATAAAGTATTCTGAAACAGAATTTAGGCAACGCACGCCTGAAGTAATACATTTCGATCCAAACTGCAAAATCAAAAGTCTAAAGAAAAGGTCATAATTTAAAAGTAAAATAACAGTTGATTGATAACATACAATATTTACATTTACCATGTTATTAGATAATGTCTTTCATTTTTTTCGAAAAAACCCACGTTGCTGTTATTTTGAGATTACCAATTTTATTTTCGTTTCTTTAATCAATTTGATTTGTCCCTTCCACCAGGTGAAGGCCTCCTGGTTAGTAACGGTAAGAAGTGGGAGAGGAACAGGCGACTCCTCACGCTGGCTTTTCACTTTGACGTGTTACGCCCCTACGTCAAAATATACAACAGAGTTGCTGACGATCTTCTGGTAGGTTGCACACTTGTAATTCAACATAAATTAATATTCCTTCTTTTAGGGTTGGAACATGGAACATTAGAACAATTTGGTTAATCATTTGCATTTTGGAAGTTTTCTAACTTGTATTTTTGGTAATGTATTTAGTATTGATATTATATATATTTGTGTGTGTAAATACAATAGCTTGATAAACATAAGTGTGATAAGGCATTAGAAGTGTTCCATATAGACAATGTAAGTAATATTAGTGATAGTATTCCATAAAGGATGATGCATGAAAGTAAATCTTTAATTACATTTCTGATGATTCTAACAATATTAGTATACCTCATCTATAAAAAAAAGCATGTCTGATTGGGTAATATTTATCACATGACGCAAAATAAAACATCGTGTATCCTTCTCGTGCTAGAGTTCACCCTGTCGTGATCCTCTTTTCGGAACTACTCCAGAAATATGAGCAAGATGTACCACACACGAGTTCCGAATAGCTGAAACAAACGACAACAATGGCGCATAAGGCTCATAAGGCTCATACTCTTTACTTATGTGTAATTTTTCTATTTGGTACATTAACTGACATAATTCAGTATCTGGATGAACGCCAACATGCTTAAACTTAATCAGGAAAAGACGGAACTAATCGTCTTTTCCCCAAAGTGTCAGCAAAAAATGACTCTCCAGCTCAAGGTTGGTGCCAGAACTATTGAGACTGTTCGAGCTGTTAAAAACCTAGGGGTATACTTTGACAGTTCTCTGAACATGGAGAAACAAGCGAACGCTATTGCCAAATCCTGTTACTACCAGATTAGGAACATCGGCTGTATTCAACAGTTTTTAACTGCAGATGCATGCAAGATGTTGGTGCATTCACTTGTTACCTCTCGGTTGGATTATGGTAACGCCCTGCTCTGTGGTATATCTGACAAACTAACTAGTCGTCTGCAGAGGGTCCAGAACACTGCAGCA